TTGGGCGCCTCTGGCGCCGTCTTGGGGCCCTTTTGGAATGTCTTGTGGCCGTCATCTAAGCCTCTGGGGCTCTTTTGGAGCGGACATTGGGGCCTCTTGGGCCGTCGTGGAGCGTCGGGAAACTGAAAAGGCGAGAACTCGAACATCCTTCAACAACCGAACAAAAATCACCGATGTTTGCCTCCTGGGGTTCTTTGGGGGGCATCTTGGAGGCCTCTTGGGGCGCCTTGGAGGCCTCTTGGTGGACAATCGCGGGCGAATTCTGGGTAATCTCGGGCCGCCATTCGTCTTTTTCGCGGCCTGGGAAAGCCATTTCTTGCGATCCGGGGCCGTCTTCGGGCGATCTTAGAGAGCCCCCCTGGCGCCCCCCGCAGGGCCCCCGGCGCCCTCGTCCTGCAGTGCGCCGTCGAAGGACATACATACATATATATAATATTATATATATATATATTAAATATATAATATATAGCGGAAGTGAGGGGGTGAGATCGCAGTGGAACGGAGAGCCCCCCACCAGGAAATGGGTTTCGGTTTCGGGTTCGTGTCGTGCGTGCGGGCGAGGCGAAGCTGCGTGGGCGGGCGAGAAGAAAGTCTCCTGTGGCTGAGGCGCGGCCGGACCAAATGTCTCCCTTCCAGGCGGCCGGTGGCCCGCGGTGTCCCGCCGGTGTCCCGCTGGTGTCCCGTGTGGCTGAGGCGCGGCCGGACCAAATGTCTCCCTTCTGGGCGGCCGGTGGCCCGCGGTGTCCCGCCGGTGTCCCGCTGGTGTCCCCGGTGTCCCCGCGGCCCCGCGGTGTCCCCGCCGTGTCCCGCGGTGGTCCCGCGATGATGAAAATGATGATGATGCTGATGATGATGATGATGATGAAGATGATGTGATTGTGTATATGATGAGATGAGGATGATGATGATGCTGATGATGATGATGGTGATGCTGATGATGATGCTGCTGATGATGATGACGATGATGATGATGATGATATGAGGATGGTGGTGTCCCGATGATGATGATGCTGATGGTGTCCCGATGATGAGGATGATGATCATGATGATTATGTTGATGATCATGATGATGACGATGATGGTGTCCCGATGATGATGAGTATGATGATGTTGATGTTGATGATGCTGATTATGATTGTGTCCCGATGATGATGTTGATGATGATGAGGTTGATGATGATTATGGCGTCCCGATGATGATGATTATTATGATGGTGATGATGATGATGTTGCTGATGATGGCGTCCCGATGGTGATGATGATGACTGTGATGATGATGATGAGGATGATGTTGATGCTGATGTTGGTAATGATGATGATGGTGCCCAGATGATGACGATGATGATGATGCTGATGATGATGTTGATGATGCTGATGATGATGATGATGTCGATGATGAGGATGAGATGATGATGATGTCCCGATGATGATGATAACGATGGTGATCATGATGGTGTCCCGATGATGATGCTGCTGCTGATGATGATGACGATGACTGTGTCCCGATGTTGCTGATGATGATGATGCTGATGATGATGATTGTGATGATGGTGATGATGATGATGATGATGATGATGGTGGTGGTGTCCCGATGATGTTGATGACCGTGATGCTGATGATGTTGGTGTTGATGATGAGGACGGAGTCCCGATTATGATGATGTTGGTGATGATGATGATGATGATGATGATGATGTTGATGTTGTTGTTGATGATGACATTGATTGTGAGAGCGGTTGTGATATCTATAGTGAGATCGATAGTGAGACCGAATGTGATATCGATTGTGAGATCGATTGTGAGATCGATAGTCAGATCAATTGTGAGATACGATAGTCAATCAATTGTGAGATAGATCGAGTGAGATCGATTGTGAGATCGATCGAGGGAGATCGATCGAGCGAGACCGATACTGAGATCGATAGTGAGACCGATAGTGAGACCGATCGAGTGAGACGTTGGTTCCTCCCCCCCGAACCTCCCTATCACCCGAAGGGTGGTCGTATAGGTATATATATGTATGTATATGCACATTGATACTTATACATACAAGCATTTTTGTGTATATAGACGTATATTGTATGTATATATACACATAAATATATACATATATATATATATATATATATATATGTATGTGTATATATACAGGTATAGTTGTATGTCTGCCTGTCTGTCTGTCTGTCTGTCTGTATGTATGTATGTATGTATGTATGTATATATATATATATTATATATACTAGGCTGTAGACGGCCCCAAGCCTTGACGAGTTCACCGCTCCACTAAAATAGCGGACCACATATGGTTTGAACAAGAAGTGGAAATTTGTCCATAACGCTGAACGCATGACGGACAGTGAGAAGTCCACGTGTTTCAATCCGTATTCCAGAAGGCTTTCGAGGGAAATCGTTGCGCAGGGGGGCGGGCGCCTGATGAATGGGGTTCCCAGAACGAAGGCCTTCTGGGAACATGGTTTTTGGGGGCGTCTTGGGGAGCCTGCTGAGGCGCGCCGTCGTCGTCGTCGTTGTCGTCGTCCTCGTAATGACGTCGTCGCCTCTTGGGGCGCGCCGTCGTCGTCGTCGCCGTCGTCGTCTTCGTCGTTTCGTCGTCTTCGTCCTCGTGGTCGTCGTCGTGGTCGTCGTCGTCGTCGTCGTCGTCGGATGGGCCCCTTCCCAGGATCCATCCAGCGCAATTTTTCACGCCAGATCGATGCCCGACGACCCCAGGCGACGACGACGACGACGACGACGACGACGACAGTTTTCCACTCCAGTACCGCATGATCTGGCGACGGAAAGCGTGGATCTTGTATGGAAGTGGGACCCGTCGCTGTTCCACGCGCCTCGATCCATGCTTGCGCTTCCTCGATCGAGGTCGAGCCTCGGCGATCGGCGGCGGCGGGAAGGCCTTGCCCCCGAAGCGGTCCGAGGACATCTTCGACCACATCCTCGCCCACGGGGCCGCGGGGAACCGCGACGCTCGCGCGGCGGCCGGCCGCTCGCGCGGGGCGCGCCGCGGGCTCCCAGGGGGGGGGGGTGGCATGGAGGTGAAGTCTTTTGTCTACTAAGAACCCAAATGTAGAAAAAACGCAACGAGGAGGAGAAGGAGGAGGGAGGAGGGAGGAGGAGGAGGAGGAGGAGGGAGAGGAGAGAGGAAGGAGAGGAGGAGAGGGAGGAGGAGGAGGAGAGAGGGAGGAGGAGAGAGGAGGAGAGATGAGGGTGGCAAGGGGGAGAGGTAAGGAGGAGGAGAGGACACAGAGGCGTAAGGAGAGCGGCGGGCGAGGAAGGAGGTGAAGGAGGAGGAGGCGGGCGGACAGCGAACCCATGGAGGAGGTCCGATCGGAGAGTTGCTGTCTCGAATGTTACGACGACGACGACGAGGCGCGTCGATGCCTCCAGGTAAGCGGAACCCATCCCTGAGTCGCGTGCGGACGGGCGGTTTGGGGGACGATTCCAGTCCCCCCAACCCCCCCTGGGCCTGGGTCCCCACCCCCCCAGGGGACCCAGTCTTCCGACTCCTCCTTCCGGGGAGGACACCAAGCACTCTCTTTATTGGCGTCGCGGCCGTGGGCGCGGCGACACGGCAAGTTCGTGCCTTGGCCCATGGTCAGTAGTGTCATGGCGAGCCAGACCTCCTTCGCGGCTAGCCCTAGCACTCGGCTTGGAACGGGGGTGCATACCGCCATGTCGCCCAGCCACGGTGCAGGGATGCGTGCATGAAGAAAACACCCTTCTGGTCATTCCCGCTCCAAAGCAACCATGCCGGCGACGGAACAGGGTAACCGAGTCCCCTGCCAGATGGCGAAGGTATGCGTTCGTAGGCACCATATTGAAGATCAGCCGCGCCTCCCTGGCCTCGCCCTCGGCTGGGGTCCCCGAGTTGGTCACGGCAACCACGCCAGTGATGACCCGTCGACCGCGGACCACGAAGATGCGCTCTGCGGGGATGGGCGCTAGGAGACCGCGCTCAACAAGTTTGGCAGCAATGGCCCATCAGTGCTCGATTATCCCAACGTTGACCTTCACTCTCGGCGGCGACTCGGGCCACTCAGCCTCTGGTAGAAAGGGAAAGTTCGGGCTTGGTGGGCAGCTCTACGAGCTCTGGCTTGACGTAGTCCAGGACGTCCATGCGGCCGATGTCCTTGGCTTTGGGCAGGCTGGGCTCGAGCTCCCCGAACTTGAGCGCCAGGGCCCTGCAGTCCTCGTCGAGGTTTTAGCTCGACCTTGTCTTCATCAGCTCCTCAGGCCAGTAGGGTATGTCCACCTGGGCCAGCGCGTCGCCCACGTGCCAGTCGATCGTCTCGCCGATCACGCGCAGGCTGGCGGCTGGGGCCTCAGAGAAGCGACCAACGGCCTCCCATCTGTTCGTGCTCAGGTGGCCCAGGTGCAAGTAGTTCAGGCCCATGACGTTCAGGCAGGTCCAGGTCTGGACTGCCATGTTCTGGGCCTGTCTGCCCACGGTAGGCGTCCACTTCGTCGTGCGCACTAGGGATCCTTTACTACTTAACAGGGCTCGCAATATCATATATCGTTCCCCGGCGATCAGAGATGCCGGCTTCCTTACTGGCAGGGGCAGAATGTCGCGCCCCACACCGGCCTCCAGCGATTGTGGCGCGACGCCCATAAGGAACCTTCTCACGAGCTCTCCGATGCAACTCGGTATCTTCCTGACACGGATGAGGATCATCAGGCCGATCTCAAGCATCGTCATCTTGCTCGGTCCGCTGCGGCAAAGGCGGCAGGCGACGCTCGCCTTCCACTGCCACAGCGTCAGCGCGGCCACCCCGCTGCCGACGGCCGTGCTGTCCACCGAGGTCAAGAGGCCCGCCTCGGCGGGTCCTCAGGCTTGGCCGCGTTCTTGGCCGACGCTTCCCTGCGCTTGAAGAACTGCTGGGCGATCCGCTTCTTCAGCTGCCTCCTCGACTCCCCCTCGGCGCGCGAGGTCTCCGCGCGCGCCGCCGCCCGCGCCGACGAGGGCGATCCGCCCACCGACCCGGGGAGCTCGGGCGGTCTCTCAGCGCGGTCAACTCGTCCCCCGGCGGCGGCACAGCTGGGCGATCGCGACGGGCAGGGGAGCGGCCGCGAGGAGACTGAACTCCCACGGCCTCGTAGTGCTGCGGCGTCCGGAACGGTGCCAATGTCGGAGATCGGCAAAGCTCTGCTGTCCAGGTTTCCGCCACGGCGCTGGCCTGCAGGGCGGTCGGTCGAGCTCTCGCCGCCGCCCTGGTCAGCCTTCTAGCCGCGGGCCCCGAAGCGGCCCAGCAGCTGCGCCATGCGCACCTCGGCGGCGTCGATGCCTGTCACCAGCTCCTCTTCTCACCATCTCCTCATCCTCGACCGACAAGCTCAGCCCGCCGCTGTCGGGCGGGATTAGCACAAACCACTTCGCAATGCGCGAGGGGCCATCATGTATGGTCTTCTGCAGCGCCTTGATCCTACAGAGGATGTAGTCCAAGGAGTGGGCTGGCTTGCCGGAGATCAGATCAACACTCTCCGCCAGCGTGCGCAACTCTTGACAACGCTCCGGACCGAATTCGTATGGGATGAGCTGGCCGCAATGCACGTCGCAGGAACTTCGCGGCCACCGGATTGAAATGACCCGACGTCTCTCCCACGCCGCCATCGTCCAAATACCGAGCAGTGTTCTCCATCTCCTTCTCTGAGAGACGGCCTGGGAACTTCTCGGCTATCTTCTTGTCGGCGAAACGGCGCGCGGATACAGGCCGCCCTCCAGAGACGCGCCCCTCGTCGCTTTCAAGGAAGTCGTTGTCGTCTTTCTTCTTCAAGGAAACGGCGAGCGTCTGAGTACCGAACTCTCTCGTGTACTTCCGTTAGACCCTCCATCCGACGGCCCAGCAGCAACAGGACCAGGACTCTGGTCCGTCATCCTCGCCTGCACCGCCTCGCCGAACTTCAACTTCTTCTTCTTCGCTGCTGCGAGTGGGGCCGCGCCACCGGCGCAGCCCTGCCCGCGAGTCTGCGCCCACTTCTCACGCAACTTTTCGACCCGAGCTTGGTAGTCATCCCTGGCCGAATCCTTCGCGTCCTCGGTCTTCCCCGAGAGGGCCAAGAGCTCCCCTTCGAGTTCGTCGAAGGCCTCGGTGTCCTCGTCGTCGTCGTCCTCGTGGTCCACCAGCTTGCCAGCGGCCGCCGCGGCGGCGGGGCGCTTCACGGCAGCGCCCTTCACGGGACCACCTGGCGGGAGGCCCTCCTTCACGTCCTCGACTTCGGCCTCGCCGATGGCCGCCCGGGCAGTGTCAGCCGGCAGCACGGGGCACTCGTCGTCGACCTGCAGCACCGCGGTGTGCTTCTCGGCCGCCGGCGAGGCCGACAGCCGCACAGGGGGGCGCGGGCGTGCAAGACCTGGCAGCCTGCTCGCGGTGTAACGTACCTGCACTTCCAGGCCAGCCCTGTGCAGACGTGCAGAAACAAAACGTCTCTCGCTTGGCGATCCTGGAGCTCAGCCGCCACGAGAAGTACGGGTTACGTCTTCTCCAGAGTACTCCACCTCGTAGGCTACGCCTCCAGGGTTGTTCGGCATCATCCGCCTCACGACGCCCCGAGCCGAACCACTACTCGACCCATCTCGATGGACGACTGAATGCTGGACGCAAGTGCCGAGCTCCATCGTGCTCGAGCCGTCCTCCGCCATCGCGGACTCTCAAGGCGGGCGGGCGAGCCCTGGAGACAACGACGAAGGTGTCGGCTTCGCGATGCCAAGAGCCCTCTCGCTCCTGACCCCAGGCCTGACCTGGGATTCAACCTCTTGAGCCGTACACTGCCGGATCCCCGCGGCGACGCTTTGCACAAGTGGCCCGAACATACCCCAACCCCATGGGCGTCATGATACATGAACTTTCGGAGGTCCGCGCAGACTTCTTGGATCGGCGCCGTGACCCCCTCCCTGTCGCGCGGAGCGCGCCAGGGGCGGCGCCGGGGGCGCCGCCAGGGTGGCCCCGTGCCGATTCGACAAAATCTGCGCGGACCTCCAGAAGCTCACGTTTGTGCAGCTTTCCGCCCGCTGCTTTCTCAGACGAGCGCGTTCCGCTACTCGCACATTAACTACTCGCAAATGGCCTGGATCCGCCGCGGGGGATCTACGATAAATCCCATCGAAGCGAACATATGTTTTTCGTACGTTTGCGAGTAGGCACTGTGCGAGTTGTGGAGCGTGTTCGGTGATCTCTCCTCCTGCTCCTCCAGCCTTCTTCCCCCCCCCCCGCCTGCGCCTCAGTTTGCTTCGCCTGCGCCCCATCGCAGCCAGACCGCAACTCGGTTCCGAGGCGTCGCTGACACAATCTGTCTGTGCAGTTTCTCCCGTTCGACCCCTCGGGAGCCATCCAAGGGCTTCCAGTGCATCATCGTCGACGGCGACTCCGTCTTCGACGACGACGTCGTCTCGGGTCGTCGTCGCTCGTGCCGCCGTTGACGAATCTCGCCTTCGCCATCGTCGTCGTCGTTCGCCGGGCCGCGGCGAGGCGCTCCTGGCAGCCGCGGCCGAGGCGAGGCCGCCGCCGTTGGCCGGGGCGGGGGGCGGCGCGGGCGCCCGCGCGGGCGGCGGTCGGGGCGCGGCGGATCCGCCGGCAGGGCGCGGGGGCCCCGCCGCCGCCGCCGCCGCCGTCGTCGTCGTCGTCGTCGATGACGGCGTCGTCGTCGTCGTCGTCGTCGATGACGGCTTCGTCGTCGTCATCGCCGTCGTCGATGATGGCGACATCTCGATGACAACGACGCCGTCGTCGAGGATTGAGGGTCGATGACCGAGGGCCTGGTACGCTTTTGGCCTCTGGAGTCCTCTGCAAACCTCCAATGGCATCCGCGGGGTTTCTATTCCTCCCGAGCCCTCGGGAGGCCCCGATAATCGACGACGGCTGTCTTCGACGACAGCATGCTCGTCTCAGGTCGTCGGCGTTCGTGTCGCCGTCGAAGTCTTCGCCTTTGCCGTCTTCGTCGGCGTCATCGTCGTTGTCGTCGTCGTCGATCGGAATTTGGGTCCTTCTTTTTTTGGGGGGGGAATTTGGGTCCTTCTGGGACTTTCTCAGCCTCTCCGGCGGGAGGGGGGACGTGGCCACTGCCAGAGCCGCCCCGAGATCCAACGCGCTCCAGGACTGGCTTGCGGGCCGATTTTGGTTTCGGGAAACGATGACTAGTTACGCCAACGGTGGCGATGCTACTACTACACGCGACGACAACGGCGACGACAACGGCGACGATACCGCCGACGACGCTTCTGCTTGCTTCGGGTATACAGTCATCGTGCTACCATCGGGAACGCTGGATAAATAACAGAAGGGCTTGTCTGGCCGCGGCGAGCCTCGGCCACGAATGGACTCCACGTCTTCCATTTCTGGAGAGGCCCGGAAAACAGAGGCCACAAACACCCCGAGGTGCCCGCGCGCTGGCGCGGCCTGTGAGATGCGTTGGGCCAGATACCATCGGCCACCGCAATCGTGGCCGCAAGAATTCTGCCATACCAGCTGGCCGACCTGCGCGTGCGATGCGTTTTGCCAGCCAAGTTTCCTGGGGCTTCCTGGGGCTTCCAGGAGGGGCTCCTGGCGTCTCCTTGGCCTTCATGGGGCCTCCTGGGGAAGGACTCGCTGGGGACTTCAGGGGACTCCTGGGGCCTCCTGGGGCTCCCTGGGGCGTCCTGAAACATCCTGGGGTTTCCTGGGGCCCTCTTGAAGCTTCCTGGGTCCTCTTGGGGCATCCTCGACTCGTGCTGGAATGCCCGCGCAGCCTTTGAGACGAGCTGGGGAGTTCCCATTGGTAACCGCTGTCGCGGCCGCATCAGCTGTGCCAAACCACTCGCCGATGTGATCTCGGCTCCAGCTTGTGCCAGCACTGTTTCTTATGTTGTGGGAGGGCGGGTGGGAATGGGCATGCCATGAATGTCTCGCTCGAGCTGACTAACTTGACCCCCACCCCCACTCCCACTCCCACCCCTACCCACCCCCACCCCCACCCACACCTACACACGCACACCCCCTCCCCCACCCCCACCTTCCCCCCCCCAACCCCCACCCACACACCCACACACACCCCCACAAATCCACACACACACCCACACACCCACACACACACTCATACCCACACGCACACACCCACCCACACACACACACACCCACACACACACACCCACACAACCCACGCCAACGGTGACGATGCTACTACTACAAGCGACGACAACGCCGACGATACCGCCGACGACGCTTCTGCTTGCTTCGGGTATACAGTCATCGTGCTACCATCGGGAACGCTGGATAAATAACAGAAGGGCTTGTCTGGCCGCGGCGAGCCTCGGCCACGAATGGACTCCACGTCTTCCATTTCTGGAGAGGCCCGGAAAACAGAGGCCACAAACACCCCGAGGTGCCCGCGCGCTGGCGCGGCCTGTGAGATGCGTTGGGCCAGATACCATCGGCCACCGCAATCGTGGCCGCAAGAATTCTGCCATACCAGCTGGCCGACCTGCGCGTGCGATGCGTTTTGCCAGCCAAGTTTCCTGGGGCTTCCTGGGGCTTCCAGGAGGGGCTCCTGGCGTCTCCTTGGCCTTCATGGGGCCTCCTGGGGAAGGACTCGCTGGGGACTTCAGGGGACTCCTGGGGCCTCCTGGGGCTCCCTGGGGCGTCCTGAAACATCCTGGGGTTTCCTGGGGCCCTCTTGAAGCTTCCTGGGTCCTCTTGGGGCATCCTCGACTCGTGCTGGAATGCCCGCGCAGCCTTTGAGACGAGCTGGGGAGTTCCCATTGGTAACCGCTGTCGCGGTCGCATCAGCTGTGCCAAACCACTCGCCGATGTGATCTCGGCTCCAGCTTGTGCCAGCACTGTTTCT